GGAAAGGAGGCTGATCAAAGAGGATTTCATAAGGAGATTTGTTTTTGAGAAGTGGTGTGGGAATTCTGTTAATAAGGTAGACAACATGAAGTATGCAGTCACTCCAGAACTCAAGAGGAATACCAGATTGGAATTTTAAAGACCAAGTCACATTTAGGATTTGTTGGTGTTTACGTTCCACTCTTCCATTTTGTTCTGGTGTTTGAACACAGGAAACCTGATGTTCTATACCTTCAGCAGCAAAGAATTCACACATTTCAAACTCCTTCCCCTGATCACTTCTGATAACTTTAACTGTCTTCTGAAACTGGTTCTTAACCAGATGACAAAAACCCTGTAAAAACCCCCTTGCTTCACCTTTATGATGCATCAAATAAACCCACACAGCTCTAGAGCAATCATCAACCATAGTGAGAAAGTAACTGAAACCATCATAAGAAGGAACAGACAAAGGTCCCCATATATCCACATGAACCAAATGAAAAACATCAGGTGCAATGTTGGTACTAAAAGGAAAAGGTAACTTCTTATATTTGGACAAATGGCAAACTTCACAGTGTTTGATTCTATCACTAGTTACATCAGGAGAGGTGTGATGAATTAAAGAAATCTTGTCATGGCCTGGATGTCCTAGTCTGCAATGCCATAGGTCAAGCTGTTGAGGTTGAAAGTTGAATAAGGTGGCTGCAAGGTGTGGAGGTGATGAAGGAAAGGTCTTGGACTGGCTAGGTGTGAAGGTGAGTTGGTAGAGCCCTCTAGTTTCTTTTGCCAAACCAATCTTCTTCATGCTTAGTAGGTCCTGGATATGACAATGATCAGATTGGAAGAGTAATGAGATGGGGAAGTCTTTGGTGAGTTTGCTAACTGAAACTAGGTTAAATGTAAAGCTTGGAACTAACAAAATATCATAAAGGAACAAGCCGGTAGGTAACTTAACTGTCCCTATATGAGTTACAAGTACTTTTGTATTGTTTGGGAGGTAAACAAAGGTATCAACAACTTGTTTAGACTCACTGAACAAGGATTTACTACAGGCAATATGATCTGAGGCCCCTGTATCAAGTATCTAGAGACCTAGATTATAAGAACTACAGTTTTGGGCTGAAGACATGACATATTTACCTAAGTGGTTAGGAAAGGGTGCTCGGAATTGAGAGACTGAGTAGGCTTGATGGTTAATAGATGGTGAGATAGGTGGAGAGGGTGTTGTGTTAGTACCAACTTGCAGGAGATACCTGAGTCTGTTCATTTCCTCTGGTGTAAAGCTGGGTGGTGCCTGAGCAACACTCCCCTCACTGGAGAATCCTCCATCTGATTGTGCTTCACTGGATCCAGGTTGTGAAACTGAACCAGCAAACCTAGGGGTGCTAGAACTTGAACTGGACCCTGAGTTTGATCCATTACCATCCTTCTGATCAGACTGCTTCTTCTTCAATCTGTAACAGTCCTCTATATTGTGATTCCTCATTTTGCAAAATCTGCAAAATTTCCTGCCCTGCTTTCCTTCACCAGATTCCCTTCCTTGTTCTCCTTCTACTGCTAGAGCTAGAGTCTGTGACCTTTTCCCCCCACTTGTATTGTCACCCTTCAGTTTCTGTTCATGTTGTAAAAGTTCATCCACAACTGTTGACAAGGGCGGACCTAGCTATAAGGGAGGTGTGTCACGCGACACACCTTCGTTCGAAATTTTTGTGAGGAACCTACATTTTTACGGTATAAAAAATTTGAACAGAGGGACCTCCGACACACCTTCGATAATTGTATCCGACACACCTTATTACATTACAAATTTTTTGTTATCATAATGTTATTAAAATATGTGAATATAGAAGTCGTCGGACTTCAGACTAGGTAGTTAATTAGTTGGTTGTACAAGAGTAAACCAATTAATTGACTATTTGGTACGTAGCGATAATTATCACCTTAGAGATAACCTTGGTAATTTGAATGAGAATTAAATTGATTAATAAGTTGGTTGAGTCAAGTAATTAGATAGTGAATTCCATGTCTTCTTTTCCCCGTAGCTTCTTTCTTTGATCTTTCTTTAAGTTAATTTTCAACTTGCTCTCTAATTTAGTTATTGCTTTCCACGTTGACGCCTGTCGCCACCCTCCAATTGGTGGCGTCGTGCCGACGACATCATTCAAATTTCCATGTTCACGCATGTGACCACCCTTCCAGCTTCCCCGTCTTAAATTAGTGCTGACTTTACCTCTTGTTGCGAGCTACAAAATGATATTTTTCATATATGAGCTTAATTAAGAGCGGTACTTGGTATCATTCGAGTGACCAAATTATGAATAATTGTACATAAAAAATATTTCATTTGCAACCTAATGGACAAACATAATTAAGAAATCTTTCAGAATATGAAAATTCGTTGTGGTTCACTATAAAAAATAATGAAATTGGTGAACTTTATGAATACAAATTTATATTTATTCTTAATTAATTTTATTTTTTATTTTTTTCTAATTTTATAGAGCGACACGCCTATCCCAAAAACCTGGGTCCGCCACTGGCTGTTGACACAGTTGGCAAGAGCTTCTGCATCAATAACTGTGTTTTCACAACATCATAAGATGAGTTTAAACCCCTCAAGAAACGAACCAAATAATCTGTTTCTTGCTTCTGCACAAAGGCTGCCACTGCATCACATGGGTTTGGGTTTCCAGGTGCACAGGCACATGGTACAATAGGATTGTACTCAACATACTCGTCCCACAACCCTTTCACTTCTGTATAGTACTGAGTGATAGACCTTGAACCCTGTTTACAAGCAATGATCTCATCTTCCAGATTAGTGATTCTAAGGGCATTAGGTAACCCAAATCTTCTTTTCAATTCATCCCAGAGGGCCTTAGCGTTACTATGGGTAAGGATTGATCTCCTTATGTCCTTCTGAACAGAATTCTGAATCCAACATAACACAAGAGTGTTGCAAGCATCCCATATTCCAAACATATTGGTATGGATCCATCAATAAATCCGATCTTATGCTTATGCCCCGTTTAGTAATCATTCTGTTTTTTGATTTCTGGAAAACAGAAAAGGGAATCCGAAGAAAAGGAATCTGTCATTTTCTGGAAAACAAAACCTGAAGAAAACTTGTTTAGCTGAGAATTTAGAGAGTTCTGAAACTGAAACCTGGAAATGGAAACTTGTTCAGATACAGTTATTACAAACTGATTTTTGTTTTCAATAGAAATCTTGTTTTAAACAAATAAACAAAATACTACTACATCAACAAATACAAATAAGTGAAAACATCAAATAACTCCTGCTTGAAAGTCATTCCACAACTTGTCTGCTATTTCATCACGTCGAATTTCCATTGCCCGAGTTTGAGTTGAACTGACATCATACACTTCAGTTTGTTGTACTCCCTGGACTTCTACATAATCATTCTTGTTTTGAGCCTCATTATTGTCCATGATAAGAACTAGTTACACAAGTCGGTCATATTAGATATACAACAATAATAAGCAATCAATCACCAACACACCAACAAAGATTCGGCTGTGAAGAGGTCATGCATGGGTTAATTAGGGGTTCACATATATATTAATTAAAAGATGTGCTGTGATTTTTCAAAAGAAGAAGGGATCGCATGTGGGTGGGCAAAAGGAAGAAGAAATCAACTCTCTGTTCAATTCTAGTATGCCAATCCTATTTAATCTAATCAACTATTTATTAATCTAATCAACTCTCTGTTCAAAAGTAAGCAGAGATTTCAAAAGATTGCTCACCAGGCGCAGTGGATATAAACTAGGACGAGGACAAGGCGACGAGAAGTGAGATAAACGTCGGGTTGACGACGAGCGGGGAAGGCCGGGTCGACGGCGAGCGGGGGTTGACTGCAACGAGGGCTGACGGCGAGCGGGGAAGGCCGGGTCGACGGCGAGCGGGGGTTGAAGGCCGGGTCGACAGTGAGCGGGGGTTGACTGCAACGAGGGCTGACGGCGAGCGGGGAAGGCCGGGTCGACGGCGAGCGGGGGTTGACTGCAACGAGGGCTGACGCCGAGCAGGGGAGGCCTCGGCGGGTCGACGACGATCAGGGGAGTCCGGGCTGGCGGCGGCAGGGGAGTCCTCGGCGGCAACGGAAGCAAGGCAGGGGAGAGTGGAGGAGATAAGAGGCAGGGGAGAGTGGAGGAGAAGTGAGGCGGCGGGGAGCAGATGAGAAGAAGGGGAAAGGGTTGGGTTTGGGATAATAGGGTTTGGGGGTCTTTGGGATGATTCATTGATTTGTCTGTCAAATGGTAGAAGAGGTAATAAATTGATTTTGGGTGGTTGGGGGATTCGATACATGGGTCTCATTAATGAGAAAGAAGAGAGAAATTCGTCCGTTTCCCATTCCTGAAACCAAAATATTGTGTTTCCCAAAAGTTGCTACTGTTCAGCACTATTTGATTCCCCAAATAAAAGCTGATGGAATGGGAATGGAAAGTAAACACTTTTTTCTGTTTTCATTTCTAAATAAATTAAATGGAATGACAAAATGGGAATGGGAATGGTTACTAAACAGGGTATTAGTTTTTAGAACAATTTGCATAAATCTACTCCACATACTATAATTAGACCCATCAAACAGCTCAGCAACCAGAGAAATGGACATATTCTCGTTTGAGTTGAGATAGTAGGGGTTACCAAACGTAATCGTCTCATTCTGAGCAGCCTCTTGGTTGAATGAGCCAAATTGCAGGTTCACTGGAGTTCCAGTCACATTTCCTCCAGAACTTCCCGAACCGCGAGTGTTGCCTCATGGTGTTGTGGGTTCAGCCATGGCGGCGCGTTCCGAGAAACCCTAGAGCCTCACAGCTCTGATACCATATGAATTCTGTAGAGTGATTTGTGAAAGAGAAGCTCAAGCTTTCTGCTGAGTTCTCTGTTCGTTTTTATAGCAGCAAAATCAAATTATCCAGCTAGTACAGGGGTCACGATTCTACTGGCCATTAGCTCTGCTACTCCAATCCAGGCTGTTAGATCTCGACCCAGTCAGTCGCATCCGAAAATTCTACTACTCCTTGCACTCATACGACACCCTCCGCTACATCTCCGCAGCCCGGGAATTACCCTCCACCCCGGACAAGATCTGTGATGGTTGGTCCCCTTTGACCATCGTCGGCTGTTGCGACGGCATATTCTGCATCTCCGATGAAAATGAGCGCAGCGCCTCTGAAATCATTGTGTGGAATCCGACGACTTCCGAGACAAAGCTCCTGCCGCGTTCCACTTGCCCTCGCACAATCAAGAGCTGTGAGTCCATTGGTATCGGCTTCGATCCCCTGGCCTGGGACTACAAGGTGTCAGGACGTTGATATATTCGGGGAATGAGGAAGCTGATAGTGATGATTATTACTTCATTGGTTATGTCTGCCCTCATCCGACTATTTGTAAAGAGGTAAATTTTATTCGAATGTGTTTAGTTTCATATAATGAGTATATTGTGCTGAATTCATTGATGCCCTGCTGATTAGCGGGATTAGCCACGGTCTGACATCGTTGGATAGCTTAATCGTTGGATGCACGTGGATGTGTTGTTTATAGAACTGTCATCGGTGCATTCATCGATCCAATTGCATTAAGCTTACGCAGACTCCGACCTATGAGTGTGCTACTAACCAGGCCTTGCTTAGTTTTGATCTTGGCTCAATCATTAAACATATGAGAAGTTTGATTTCCCATGTATGCCATTGTGGTTAGGTTTATAGCTTGAAGAATGATTCATGGAAGAGATTAACTGGTAGGTCTTGTTTGGTTGGGTGGACTCCCGGATATGTTCATCAAGACACATCACGGAACCAGAAGTGTTATTGGTGTTAATAGGAAATGAGAATTTCTACCTTATTACATTTGATGCGGCATAGAAGCTTCCAAGTCTTGTTTTTCTTCTTGTTCTGGCATAGAAGCTGTCACTGCATTGCTGTCGGTTTGAGCAAATACGCTGCTGTCTACCAGCGATGCTCCCTTGTCTAATATGCACACCCTGTCCGTTGACATTGGACATTGACCACTATATTAAGGCCCCAACATGTCGATAAAGAGTGGAGAGCAAGGAAGCAGAGTAATATCCAAGACAAGGCAGCCACTTCCTTCCCTTTCAGCAGATTCCTCGGCAGTCTTAATGACCGAAGAACAAGACCGCGAGTCCCAAGCAACCTTCCTGACGGAAGATGTAGTGATCAAAATTCTCCTGCGATTGCCGATCGCTTCGTGTATCTCCCGGTTCCGCTGCGTCTGCAGATCATGGCGGAATCTGCTTTCAGATCCCGAGTTCATCCGCAAGATTCTCTTCTTCCGAACTACAACCACCGACCAACAATCCCTCAGAATCCTGATTGCCGGTGACGTTATCCGCGTCCTGCAGGCCCACAACTCCTCCTTCAACCTCTGGCCCGTACCTGCTGCCGCCGCCCAACCTCCCCGCGTCCGGCAGACCCACTACTCCTTGCACTCCTACGACGCCCTCTGTCCCGTCTCTGCCGCCGCCGCCGTTCCCTGCAAGATGCGTAATTACAGGCCAGGTAACCGTTTGGCAATCGTCGGTTGTTGCGACGGTATATTCTGCGTCTCCACGTACCCTGGCAGCAGTGTCTCCGACATCAGCCTGTGGAATCCGACCACCTCGGAGACCAGGTTGCTACCGCTTTCCTCTTGTCCTCGCGCTCCGTCCTTCCTCATGTGTTGCGAGGAAATCGGATTCGGTTTCGATCCCCTGACTCGCGACTACAAAGTTGTCAGGACTTTGGTATTTGAGCGGATTGATGAAGGAGACGACAATGGTGGTGGTGTTGATGATGGTCTTGTAAACTTTGGCTGCCCTTCTCGGGTTGCTTATACAGAGGTAACTTCAATTCGGATGCGTGCGTGCGCGACGTTTATTACGCCTAAGGATCCATTTAATTTTTAGATAAATTGTATTTATATTGATAATAATTTATTAACAAGGTTTTCCGTTTATTCATTACATAATTTTCTAAATTTTGACTTTTTAATTTTCGAAAAATTCTTCTATTTCATTCTTCACAAATGGAGAGGTTTTGCCATATTGAAGGGCATATATTAACTTCTCTTTATGGTTGGTCGAATAACAAAGATGTTGTATTTTCTGTCATTACGGATAGGATTACGATTGGATTGGATTTGATATTTGAGATTTGAAATTCCAAACACCAAATTGATTACTTGGATGCTAAGTAAGGTTGTCAAACCGGTTTATACTAGTGTGCCGGTTTAGCAAGTGGAATGGTTTAACCGGTGGCACATACCGGTTTGTGCCGGTTCATGCCGGTCAATATTACAAATAAAATTATAAATACTCATATTTAAATATGACATTTAACGTCAATACCTAAACATTTATACTTGATCCAACAAATAACATCAATATTTAACTTTTATACTCATAAAATAAATAATAAAATAATTTTTATCAATTAAATTCACTAAAATAATGTCATTTTACTTAGAAATTCGTATATCGATCATGCCGGTCATACCGGTTGTGTCATGCCGGTTTTATGACCGGTACCGGTTGAACCCGGTACAACCGGTAGCACGCCGGCCGGCATGACAACCATGATGCTAAGTAAGTAGAAATGATATTTGAATTCCAAATAATTTGTCGATAATTTGGATTCCAAAACGATATGATATGATATGCTAATTAAGTATATATGATATGATAATTTTTCCAAAACGATAAGTAGAATTCCAAATAAATATTTAGTATATTACTTGTGAATAGGATGGCAATTTCGACCCGACCTGTTTGGCCTGTTTTGGAGCGGGCATTGGTACCTTGCATCGATCCGACCTGTCCTGACCTCTCCATTCTCGACCCGTTCTTGTCTAAATTATATGTAATCTTAGTCAAATTATTTAGAATTTTCCTTTTACCACCTCATATTTTAGCTATAATAAAACTATAAATAAGTGAAAACTTCAATTTCTCCAATAATAACTATATTTTATCATATTATGGTTTGTTTCTTGGTCTTTTAATGAAAATAACGAATATTTCTATTGTTTTTCATATAAATTACATACTCATTGGGGCGGATATGAGTATCGAGATACCTGTCCGAGACCTGCCCCATTGTCATTCCTACTCGTGAACTTCAAATATATATTGATAGCAATTACTTGAAATTCCTCACGACAAAATAAATTTCTTATTTTTAAATTTCTCAAAGTTTAAATACGCGCAAGGAAAAGAATACAAGTACCAAAGCATAATTTTATCATCAAAATTTGACCATTTTCCCAAAATGTTAAAATTTAGTAATGAAATGTAGTTTTCTAAAAACCATAATGCTTCGCCAGTAAAGTCCAAAATTTAAAATAGAAGCATTTAATGCGGAATCCCTTAAACATTGCTAATAAATGATGAAAGAGTATATTTCGATTACATATATGTTTTGCTACGGTGACATTCAACCTCATATATGATTAGCTAGACCATATGCTATTTCAGTCTTGTGCTAGAAGGCAACTTACTTCGTAGCAACTTTGAGCCTTTTCTTTGAAGCCTTCTAGATATCCAATATTTCATCCAATGCCTTGACTTTGTAAACAAACATACCTACTTTCATGTGGTAGAGGCCCCTAGACTCGAATCTCATCCATGCTTCTCGAATTGAGCTCCAAAGTAGACTTCACAAATACTCTCACAGACTTACCCATTGTCAGCCATTTTCTCAGGTTTTGTATAAACTTTTGATCAAGTTCAAAAATGGTTTTCTGGAATTCCTATCGAGCTCCCAAGAACTTCAATGGGTAGAGGGACACTCCAGCTTCAAAATAAGCCATTAATCTCCAATTTTCATAGAACCAATTGTAAGATATGAATCTCCAAAATAGGCCCCATGAAGCTGTTTTTACACTGAAACAACATATTAGGTCGACCTAATCCTAACTGAGGTCGACCGAAAAGTGCAAGTTACGATGACATGCATGTCACTATAGGCGCACCCTTATTTTTAATACAAGCATTTTAGTTAAGGTTTTAGACAAATAAGAGACTGTTCTAATAGTTCTATTATTGGTAATCAACCTAGAGATCCCAAATTTAAACACCTTAAATAGTCTAACAATTAAAACAAACCATTGTCATCCTATTTGCAGATGAATTTTTTTTGCAGATGAAACAACAATGATAAGCGTTGTTGCAAAATTCAAATTTGGACATGTGTATTTGCAATGTCGGCCCATTCCTAGGATCTCCATTGTCTTATTGAAACGCAATGTCACTCTGTCACATGCATGTATATTAACCATATTTGTAATTGTGTTGCTTAATCATATTTGCTTGTTATGTTGTGGTTGGATCAGGTCTACAGTTTGAGAAATGATTCATGGAAGAGATTATTGACAGCCAATGATGATATCATAATCAATGCCTATCCGCTCAACTATGTTCATCAACAACATCGGGACACGTATCAAAACGAGAGATGTTATTGGTTTCCCTTAGTCGGTGACGGTGAAAATTGCGAGATTATTTCTTTCGAAATGAGTAAGGAAGTATTTGAAACCATGATCGTAGCTCTTCCCCCTAGCACAAGCAGATGGTTTGTCAAGTCGTGTTTTACGTTGAAGGAGTCATTCGTGGTGACTTCACTCTCCACCGAATATCCAGAAGTTGAATCGTACGAGATTTGGGGACTAATGAAATATGGATTTGCGAAGTCATGGACTAAGTTATTCATGTTTCAGTTACCTGGACAAATGTGTTGGAAGCGAAACTTAGAAATATGGAAAGATGGTATGTATATTTGTGCAATGGGAAATGCAGAAGAGTCCGCCTCTGATCATGCATGCGAAAAAATGGATGGAGTGTACATTTTAGACCCTACTACAAGTGGTACTAATCGTCTCGATCTTGAAGGAATGACTCATCCGTTTCAAGTCCATACATACACTCCAACTTGGATTTCATTGTTAGATTTGGAGCATTAGGATATTCATCTCATTTGTATGCATAAATGCTCCCAAAAAATTTACTAATGTAATTCAATTTGAGGTTCTATCGAGTTGTGGTCACATAGTCGCAACTCAAACCTCTTTCTCGTTGCCTAACACTTTAATAACTTTTGATGTTCTGTGCTCTACCGCTTTAGTTTGCGATACCGTGATTTGGATTTGTTGTCCTACAAAGGAAATAATAAATCCAAACAAATTATAAATTATAAACAAGAATGAGTTGCCCGTCCCCCACCCATCAAGTGGGCTGCAATCCCAGAAGAAGCAACACAAAACAACCTTCATCTCTGAATGCAATTTCAAGCAAATCACTTGCCATATAAAGGTCTTTCCTACTCCACCACAACCATCAATGAAGAATGCATTTCTCTTGAGTCTATAATTTCATCAAAATCTAATCGTTGCTGGACATTTAGCTTGGAAACCATGTAAGATAACTTTTAGTGCAAGAGAGTTATCTCATCCTTAATATGATCTATTATGAAACCTATGAGTTATGAAATGAATAGAAGTGTTACATTTGATTCAATTGTTATAAGAATAAGGAGTTATCAAAGATTAATAACCCCAAAGAGTTATGTTCCTATTGTAACTCTTCCATGATGGATGGTTGAGATGAAGTGTAAAGATAAAAATTAATAGGAATTTTGGTCATCTCTCCACCTATAAATTGTATGCTTTGGACCATCACAATAGGATATCATAAGAAACACATATATCAAGTGACTTATAGGCTAGGAGAGAGAATCTCAAACTTCAACATTGCTACTTCTTCATAAGCTCTCTCTCAATCACCATGGAAGGAGGTATTCTTCTAATCTCTTTTCTATTTCATGTGATTATCATGTTGTTCTATCGATCTTAGGGTTTCATGTAAATTCTGGTTCCTCAGGTGCTTTACCCATATGATCATTATTGGCTAGAATCTCATTATGGGATTGTGAATCATTAGTTGAGTGTTCCATGGTATCTAATTGTTCGACAACTGGAACATTCTCAACTATACTTGGAATTAGGGGTAAAGATAAAGTGGTCGGTACCCTTACTTCCTGAATGTTCACATCTTGTAATTTTTCACTCCCACTAGTTTTGTCATTCTCATAGAATCTAACATTTCCGGTTTCAACTATTCTCGTACTATGGTTAGGACAATAGATAATATATCCTTTGGACTTCTCTGGGTAGCCAATAAAATAGCCACTAATCGTTCTGAAGTCCAATTTCTTTTCATGTGGATTGTAAATTCAATTATGGATGTTCATGTGGTTGTCCAAACTTTCATAACTGAAGTTGAAATACAATTAGATAGAAAAGTAAAAATCATAAGGTCAGATAGAGGTGGTGAATATTATGGAAGGTATGATGAAACAGGACAACATCCTGGACCTTTTGCACGACTTCTACAAAAACTTGGAATTGTAGCCCAATACACAATGCTTGGTTCTCCATGGCAAAATGGTGTGGCTGAAAGGAGAAATCGTACATATATGGAAATGGTTAGATCAATGATGAGTCATGCTGACTTACCAAAATCATTGTGGACATATGCCTTACGCACAGTTGTTTACATTTTAAATCGGGTTCCTAGTAAGGCAGTTCCAAAGACTCCTTTTGAACTGTGGAAAGGTTGGAACCTAGTTTAAAATATCTTCAAGTTTGGGGATGTCCAGCTGAGGCACGAATTTACAACCCACATGAAAAGAAATTGGACTTCAGAACGATTAGTGGCTATTTTATTGGCTACCCAGAGAAGTCCAAAGGATATATTATCTATTGTCCTAACCATAGTACGAGAATAGTTGAAACCGGAAATGTTAGATTCTATGAGAATGACAAAACTAGTGGGAGTGAAAAAGTACAAGATGTGAACATTCAGGAAGTAAGGGTACCGATCACTTTATCTTTACCCCTAATTCCAAGTATAGT